TTCATAAATCCTCCTCATTGCAAATCCATGCTGCCTGCTCCGATTCTAGGTTGAGAGACATCCATCAAACAATCCACTGGGAAGTTCAGTACCTCAGTAAATCGCATTAAGGCCATGATGGGTCCATCAACAGAAATCTGATGTTATGATGGGAAAGAAGCCAGTTTCAGCCAACAATTCTCCTTTAAAAATTACCTTGTAGGAGAGGCAGAGGAAAATGACTACCCCTGGCCCAGATTACTGAAATAATCTAAAACCTGCTGAGGTAAATACAAGCTGGGGGGATATGCAGGAATGGCCACTGGAATTAAACTTCCAGAGATCTGTCAATTGAACCAGCAGCAATACAAAATGACTAAGAAATCCAATAAGGTCTGATTGTTTTCCTGGGCAAATGCTAAAAGATGCCAGGGTAATAAATATTTATATTTCATTTGCATGTTATTTAAATATGTGGGAGTGCATCTTATTCACACACTGAAAATGCTGTTGACTATAAGATGCATTGACCCATTTACATCGTGCAACATTTATCATAAAATCATTATAGAAATAATCTGCGATTATTACTGGTTGCATACGGGCTCTTCTGCTTGCCCAGCCTCTCAACTTACAAATATCTCAGCTTCTGAGGCAAATAAAAATAAAAGAAACCTATTTACCAAAGAAATGTAAGTCTAACTGTTCCCAGATACAAGAAATTAAATTCTTACATTACTGATTCCAACAAATTATGGAGAAACAGTGTTCAAAAACAGAAAGATCTCCATGTCTAAAACATTCCCCTTTTGTGTGTGTCGATTGTGATGAATTTATGTCTGAATATTGTCTTATATTCTGCAAGGATGTTGGTGATGAATGCAGGGTCTTCAGTGAGCAAGTGCTGCTGTTTTTTTCACACCTCTAAAGCTGCAGGACTGATGATTGGTCTACAAGCTTTTCTCCTTGTGCGAGTTTCCTCCAACGGTTCAAAGCTCTCCAGCTCAGCACTCACACAGCAGGACGTGCACAGCCACGCACTGTCCTTGGGCAGACCCTAATCCTCTATGATTTTCTGGATCATTGCGACCCTAATTAAATGTGCAGACAGAGAGAACTAAATGGAGTAATGATGTTGATTTGGGACTTGCTAAATGTAGCCATATAAATGTAGCTCAGTTCTGTCATTAACCTTTCTGGCTATGGGTTTGAAAGGGGAACACGTCTGATCTGCACATAGTGAAAATCAGAAATGTACATTATAAAATGTCCATTATACTAGAAATCTGTGCAATAACACCTGGTATACAGCTCAATCAGAATAATCTGAGTATGGAACAGGTGAGGTCAGTCGATGAAGACAGGAAAACCACAACCTGACTGAGGGACTTCATGTGATCCCTATTGGCCTCAATGTACTAAACCAATGCAAACGGTCCACGGATTTACTCCCTTCCAGCTCACTGCCAGCAAAAATGTGGACTATCTAGGGGATCCCTAAGGAGAAGGCTGAGAAACATACTACATTCTGGCCACATACGTCATTCAAGATGCCAGGGAGGGATGAAGTTAAAAAATATCCTAATTTTGAAGAAGAGGACAAGAGCGGAGTGTAATGGAAAGAGGCAGGCCTTATTATAGCAGCAGAGAGAGAAATCAAGCAAAGAAATACAACTGCAAACAGTATCGGCTGAAACGTGCCTGAATGAAGAAAGGCAGACCCACAGGTCTCTGGGACATAAAAGGAATGGACTTCGTTTATCGCTGAGCAGGACCGAGGCTTCCCTCTTATGGACTTTTCCTGATATCCTACTGACTGCCAAAGCATTTAGCGAAAAGCGGAATAACAAAAGCGTGAAAGAAAAACTGGCCCTTAAGTAATGGCCATCTCTCTGTTTCCTTATAATTGGACAAGACAAACAGGAAAATCGGCTGATTGGGCAGGTCTGAACGACATGGCCCAGAGGTTTTCCGGGAGCTGCTGGTGGGCCCACCCTTTGGGTCTATGTAGGGTATTATTCACTGCACTGCTGAATGGAGCAGGGAAACTAATGACAACACTGCAATGACAACACTGCAATAACAACACTGCAATAACAACACTGCAATAACAGTGAGAAGACCCTTAGCAACACTGCTGTACCACGACCTTCTTCGGGTAAATAATAATCCATCATCTGGTGAAATACCTGTATACTGGCCTGTATGAAAGTAATCCTGCACGTAAGGAGTTGAGTAATGAACAGGAACCATTTCCCACTCACCAAAGATAACGATTCACGCTGACGCTGAAGAATGCCAGGGGTCGTGATGTAGGAGGCGCTGGGTGAAATGAATAACCAAAGCTGCTTAGGGCTGTGAAATCTGGAGTGTGGATCAAACAGGCTGCTACGGACAACACGTTAACAGTGGATGGTCACATGACCGACAGCAAAGCAGCCCACTGGATCTTCCGCACTGTCTCGCATCTTTCAACGGGTTTAGCTGTGATTCTCACTGAGTGCAGAGGGGAGGAATGTCTCCCCCGATGAACAGCTGAAGGAAGAGGGGACGTGGGGAACCACAGCGTTTCATTATTTACTTCTTGCTTTCAGGGCCGGCCTGCACACGGGGCTTGTCCGCAGGCTCAATCACAGCCACAAATTGAAATAAACATGAGAGCCACAAATTAATAAAGTGCATCTGATTTGCTTCTTAGAACACAGCCATCGCTCCCAGTCTTGATTTTTGGGTGTGGGGTATCTTGAGAAACCTCAGCTTCATAGCCAGACACAGTGTGCAGAGTATAAACTCAAACCATCTGTGATTGACACTTTTATTGCATTTCAGCAAGAGGCAAACCAGTAATGGTAGCCTTCCTCTATCAAAGGTGGGTGAACATTACTGACAGGTCTACAATACTGCGGCTAGGAACAGCAACAGATGGCCAGCAGACAGGGCAGGGGCCATTACAAGCCACTGATATCAACCAAAAGCTCAACTGTTTGCTGTGAAAGGTTAAATACACATAAAGACTGGAAAACAAACAGAAGGCAAGTTTATTTTTTCCTTAATAATCATTAAATATGCTGCCTGAGAAGAAGTGGCTGATGTCTTGCTCTACAGATGGGTGTCTTGTAGGGGCTTGTAGAGAACAAGGTCCCTCTGGCCTGCGATGGCTGAAGCTCCCCACTGGGCTTCAGCCTCCAGGGAGATTTTCATTATACAGGAATTTCTGCTACTGCAACTTCAGGTAAAATGAATCAGAAAACAAAATGAATCCATGCCCTTAAAATTCATGTAACAGGCTTTATGAGTTACTTATCAAGTTTTTGCTTCTATATCCTGACTGCTTTTAGACTATCAGAAATATATTTTGGAAACAAACAATCAGATTGAAATTAAAAATGAATCCTGCGGAAGTCCCCACAGCAGCATCTTGTTCTGGTATTGTCCTAACAGATGATCCATCTGTGTAAAAACTAGAACGAACCCTTTAAATAAAGATCATAACGAAGACTGAAACATTAAAATGATGACTCTGAATGAGATCCAGTCAGCCAAAGGCTGGCCTTAACCCTAAGCCTAATCTCTTTAGGATTCAAAGTTGATCAATCAATTGATTAATCAATTGATAAGGAAGACACCAGAGTGCAGAGTCCAAGCTGCCATTTTTGCTTTAAAGGTAATCACTGCATTATGCTTGTAATTTCACAATGAGACAGTAAGAGCAGAACGAACTGCAGCACATGTGTTGGAGAACACACGCTCTCTAATTCTCTGAGACTCCTCACAGCCAATGTTATCATTCTCAAGTGACTGGTTAATCAAATTCTCCTTCTCTTTGTACATCAAGGACAAATCTACTAAACATTTAATTTATCAACTGTCAAAAACTGTAAAGCTCTGTGTCAAATATAAACTCACTTAAGATTTGTCTTTACAAGGCAGAATAACAGCATGACTAATTTTTTTAATTTTATTTTCTGAGGCTGTGATTTAGGGTGCCACAATCTGAAACTACATTATTAGGCCTATTAACATCTTCTAATAATCAGAAAAAAAAAACTAGCCATATCATAAAAAGCCTTTCTCTGATATTTCCGATGCAATGCAATGCAGAGAAATATTCTCATTCAGGGTGAAGAAAAACTACACATTTAGATAATATGATGATATAGGTAGAGACAGCCATTTGGTGACCTTTGTCAAAGCAGACAAACAGAACAGCTCACTCCGACAGGAAACTATTTAATGCCTCATGCTCCAAGCTGTCATTCTCTTTGAATATCAGGTTTCAAGGACACGGCATTTAGAATATTTATTGCTCTCGTTCCATTAAAACTAACAACGCGTCGATTTGATTAAATTTAATTATTCGATCTAGATGGAGTATTTGCAAGTCTGAACACGGTGTCGCGCGAAGCAAACTAGTCACAAACCACGTGCGATAAGACACGAGAGGACGAGGAATAAACATCACTTCGTATAGCTACAGTAGTGAAAAATAAATTTAATTAAACGTAAATTTAAAACTCAACGAAAAGTTATCGGAACGTGAAACTTAATTCAGGATTATTTCTGCAACTAAATGCCTATGGACAGCAATTGCGAGAGCGGCTGCATGCAGAAAACACTGTGCTGTACCGTGCACTGTAACACCTATAGCGATCAAACAGCGATTATAAAGCGATGAAGTACAGCGTGACATCATAACTGAAACATAAGTAGCGCAATGCTATGAAACGGAATTAAATTACGTAAACAAACTGCAGGTTGTTTGTTATGAAACACGTTCTTTTGTTGATAAAAGAGGCATATATAGAGCAATTTAGCCGGTTCTCTACACGTAAATGTCATTTTATACCTTATGTATAAACATACACTTTAAAACAATATATTTAGCTCAAAATGCTGAGCGATTTAAAATACCATATGTTAGAATTACTATTATATTGCTACAGTACAACATTATCCAAACCTTGGTGCTTAATTCCTAAAACTACTGTAAGATGAAAATGTATCAATTCGACAATTCTTACCACAAAAGTGCTTATTTGTTAGTGTGCACGTTGTCCCTAAGCAGTTACTGTACTCCAGGAAAAAAAAAACACACAGCCTGCAGATGCTGGACTCTTTGCCGTTTAAATGAGATGAAATCAGGATTTCATGGAGCTGCAAAGATGCCGTGAGGTAGAGCGAAGGAAAAGCTATAGCTGTGGGCTCATTATTTCCCCATTTCGGACCAAGCAGCAGCCTTTGGAAGAGACCGCTGAAGAAACTGCTTTCCTTACAACTCACCGCTAAGTCGATATTTGAACATGCTGAGTGTTCATCCCCGGGGGCGGGCAGTTAGTTTATGCCTACGCCTTCATTTAACCCCTTTGTTTATTATTATTATTAATATTATTAATAATAATAATTTTTCTTGCCTTATTATACTTGTACCAAAGACATAGAATGCATATTTCTTGACGATGCAAATAAATTGGGATGTTATACTACTTGACAGCTGTTTTCTTTGATTTCATCTTAATTTCCAGATGTCAACACAGCATTTTTGTGACTTGGTTATATTAGAGAGCAGACACAATCAATTGCACTGATCATTAAAATACACACGCACACATCATTGATTAATCTAGGCAATTTAAAACGTGGTTTGTTGCTTTGTACATTTTACTTGTATCAGCTGTCCCAGCAAAGTTCGGTCTGTTACTGGAAAGTACCGACAATATTGTCCCCCAAGAGGCACAAAGGAATTTGTTTGTGTAATTATTGGATGATACTAAAAGCTTTAATTTAGAAATGAAACCCCAAATGTTAAACATGATGTGACAGCAACGCGCTCTGTTGTTAATCTACCTTCAGGCTGCGCGAGGATCCCAGTGCTCTGAATAGACTCAGCTTGTTGGCAGCTTGTTGTAATATAGGACCAACCACGTGATCAGCAGGAAAACCATAGTAAACAATAAGCCTACGTAAACACAACGCTAAGAGTGTTTCTCAGTGGATGTTCTTTCAGCAACCCCCAACCGTTCTTTCTTTGGAGGGAACATTTGCATTTTCAAGAGTACAAAGTTGATTATGAACTGATCTAATCAAGATCTTGACTATCAATACTGAAACAACAAAGGGTTTTCTCTCCAGAGGTGTGAACTCTCAGTCTGAACTCTGACAGCAACTGGCTGAAAGGCAACAGTTTCACACCTTCTATGTCAGTTTAAAGGGAAATTTATCCATTCATCCATCCATCCATCTGTTCGCCCATCTGTCCATCCATCCATCCATTTTTCCATACCCACTTGTCCCACGCATGGTTGTTGGGGTAAAAGGAAAACTACGGATTTATTACTTGAAATTTAAACGGGCAATAAGTCGAAATTAAATATACTTAACAACACTACTAATATATGTCACAAAGTATAGGTAAAGCAAAAAAGAAATATGTAATAGAACAGGCAAAAACACTAATAACATTTTTCAAAATTCATTTGAAAATGTGTGTAGTTGTGAGCCTAAGAAACTTTTTTAAATTAGACTATTAGAAGATGCCTTAGGCAGTAAACATTGGCTGTAGCAACAATGTCCTCATAAGGATGATCACACAATTGGTTTCGCTTTGGTACCTGCAATAAAGAAGCTGTCTGTCGAGAGCCCAGCTCTGTCTGCTCCCTAGGGTGAGCAGTGGGAAGGTGCAGCCACTGGCTGATGTGGAGCATGCTGGGATGCCTTTTGATCGAGACCTCAGGCAAGGTGACTGGCTGCTACATCATTACATGCTCTCTTTGAGGCCTGATGAAGATATTTATAGATGTGACTGCAGGTACGCCAGTGTAACCCAACCTGCCCCCACCCTCGTTCTGCAAAAACAGTAAAAAGCGCCATAGATTTATGTACCTTTAAAGATGTGTAAGTTAACTGGGGCCCCAAACGGTGCATGTGTTCTTTTTAAGACTCAGTTAATCTTCATCATTATCACCCGTTTCCCTTTGTTGACAGTTCAAAAGGGTAAAATGATTTGTTCAAGATAAGGCAAGTTTAGTTATATAGCACAATTTAAAACGCAGAGGTCATTCAAAGAGCTTTACATAAAAGATCAAATAAAAGCAATCATTAAATATGCAATTAAAAAAACTACAACTAAAAACAATTAAAATAAAAGCATTTTAAAACTGCAAATAAAAGACAATAAAAATAAGAGAAAAAACATCAACATTGATTAGCAGCACTAATCAAAGGCATGGAATAAAAAGGTTTTAAGCTTGGTTTTAAATGCCCACTGGAACAGCTTTCTGGTCAATACCCCCAGCACTGGCCATGCACCTCACACTGTAACTGCATTACTCCTCTGAGGATTACGAGGGTTAGACGGTAAAAGCAAGAGTAAGGACCCGTGCCAGCATCTCGCTTAGTCATTTATTCTTTATTGATTGACAACTGACTGCTAATTAAATTAAAAGACTTGTCATTAAATTAAATCATTTGTCTGTCTACTGCTATCCTGTAACCCATTATCTGTCAGTTAGGACTTAGGACAAAAGGTTTAAAACTGTACATATTCTGGGATATTTATATTAACTATACATTAAGTTGCATGTTACCTTTGCAACTAGATGAAACTCTAAAAAAACCAGCTTAATAAAAACATTTTTGATGATGGACTGATTGGTTCGAGCATGCTTTCTGTCCACAGAGAAAATCATCAAACCATGAAAATACGTCATGTCATGTAATGTAATGAAAGACACTTGAATGAAACTGCAGATTACTTCTTCATATGCATCTAGTTGATTAGAATATGACTGATTCTAAGTCAGGTTTGCAGTAACCGCAACATTAAGTGTGACACGTACTTATACCCCGAACCAGAGGAAACCATGTTATAAATTGTGCACATGCTTTCTCCCGCTCTGATACAGAATCAGCCATTAATCATCCAGACATTCATTCTATTAAAATTATAACCACATGTTAAGGAGTAGAAACATTGTTTTTCAGTTCCTTTTATTGGTATTTTGGTTTTGAGGTCTGTGTTCTCAAATAACCATGAGCTAACAATGAGGAAACATCAAATGTAAGAGTGTCAGACAGTCCAGATGACTTCAGTGGCCTTCCAGAGAAGACACAGGAGTCAAAAGCCTGTTGATGGCGGTTTAATTCCTTTGTTATTGATTTTCATTTTTGAGGTCTTTGGCCATCCTTCCTTTGCCCATTCCTGTGTGGGCAAGGTCTCCACAGCTCTGTAATTACAGTATGTCCACAGGGTGAAAATCCACCACTATTCATGATGACTTCCTGTTCAAAACGTTTATTAACAGCTAGATTTTTCTCCTATCCTAGTCTTGTTTTTACATAAACAAAAATTGTAATAATCACTTCCAGCAATCCCAAAAAGCAAATACCTGGATATTTACTTAATAACTGTATACTACGTACACATTGTGTACCAGTTATGTGAATCCCTGCATATATGTTTAAGCTGGATCGCATATGCTTTGCATTGGTATTTTTTTCATTAAACAGATGTTATCTGTAGTATTTTATTTGTCCTTGGCTGTCATTGCAGAGGTCTGGGTAGGTGGCGTGTCAGAGCAGGTTGTACTTGCATCTGTTAAGAGACTTGAAGAGTGAGCTGTACTGTGCTTGCATAATACTTCAAAACCCATTTGAGTCAATGTCACATATGGGCTCTGGCTGGTTTTTAAGTCATATCAAGCCAAGTGGGCCTTATTGTCGTCCATCTACTGTATATTCATGTATAGAGTGATACATAATGTTCCCCCAAGACCAAAGTGCAAGACAAGACAGACAACAAGTGACAGACAGAGGGTGTAGCGGTAGTTAAAAAAAAAGTAGAACACAGGAGGGTACAAAACAAGGAAGGCTGGACTCAAGAGTGCAAATATGTATATATGTATATATTGATATACAGTATATGGCAAATCTATAAAAATCTGTTTTCAGGAAGCCACATATGACAGTTTGGAGATGGTGCTGATAGTGAAAACATAATTCCTTCCTATTCACATCCAGTTGCATGGCTGAGGCATGTCTTCATGTGTTCATGTGTTCATGTGTTCATGGCTGAGATTTTGGACTGATACTATTATAAAATCTCCAGTTAATTAAACCTAATTTTCTATCTTCATCTCAACTTCATTCCTGTATTTCTTTCAAAATGTAACCATTTGTGCATTATATTGGATATTAAAATAAGCTACATTAGTATAAATGGGTGCTACAGTTTTCATTTTTGCTGCCTTTATAAGGTGATATTTGTAATATTCTAAAAAAAACTTCGGTGATCTCAGCTCCTAAACCAGGTAAAGCAAGATACAGTCTATCAGCTATAGCTCTTCTATTTACAACCAGCATGTAAAATGTCTCCGTTTATAATTTCCTATTGTAATAATGTTTACTATGGAGAGCAGTTTGAAAATAGACAGCAGGTTTTGGGTTAAAATTAATTATTAATATAATATTTGGTGAAAAATCTAGTTTTCAACCGACAAAGGTGAATTAAGCAGTTTTGAGAACATTTTGGCTTCTCATTGCTTTCACCATAAAAAACAAACACATGTTCTCATTGTTTCCTTTGAGCACTTTTTATGATCACCTATTAAACATGCATAATAGCTTGTGAGAAGGGAACGCCGCTCATAAACAAAACAGGCAAAGTGTGTGTTCCTTGGCTGTTAACATGCCCAGGTCCTGATCCTTCAGGAAACATTCGGGTGTTCAGTGTACCTGTTGAGATTCTGGGTTCTAGCACTAAGTATATATCCTATAAACTCTAATACGAGTAGCTCCAGATGGCTTGTTGGTCGCTCTCCAATGAGATGTTTCCACTCCACCCCCCCCCCATTCTTACCAGAACGTCAGCCTTCCAGTGCAACGGGCAGCAGGGAGAAGAAAGGGATCGCTGTACCCAAAAAACGGACACTGAGCCCCCATCAGTCTTGCTGCTCTTCCCAGGAAGGCAGGACAGCTGTGAGGGAATCAGGAAGCAGTAAGAGGAAGTGGGTCCTCTCACACAGCGACCATAGACTCATTACCCAGACTAGGCAGACCCCATTAACTGTGCGATCCTGCACATAAATGTAGTGGGAAATGGGAGAACAGTACATCCCTCAGATTCATTTTAATAATGAAGATAAGTAGGTGTCCCATTATGGATAATAAGAACACCATAGCTTGCACTGTCTGTAAGCGTTTGAATTCCCACTTGGATACTTTCATCATGCAGTATATAGGCATATGTAGTTATCAGTATTTAGACCCATAGAAGAGTG